AGCAGGAAAGAACGCATCGATGCGCTAGAGCTACTCGGGGCAACGTATGTGGACAAGAAAAGGGACATGATAGGTGCTCTGCAGTTCTGGAAACGAGCCATGGACGAGAGGTACATATCTAACATCTCCATAGATTATCTCAGAAGCCGCATACCTTATGTTAGACATTTTTATATAGTATAATTTTAAAGATACTTTTCAAAAATATAACACGAATATAAGTTTAATCTTCTTTCTTACTTTAAAAAAAAAAAAATAAATAAATAAATAAAAAAATTAATGTCGTATCTTTTGCACTATTTTCTCTCAGATATCGGGGAGACGGCCCGATGATATCAAAACCTGAATTTCCACCCCTTGTAGCCGCTTACGATTATGCCCGAGAGGTAGTCGAAGCCGAGGCCTTGGACGATTTGTTGGCGGATCCAGATGAGATGCGCATGCAGGCACTGGTGATTAGAGAACGGATATTAGGACCGGCTCATCCGGACACAAGTTACTACATCAGATATCGCGGGGCGGTTTACGCGGATGCGGGTAAATTTCGTCGTTGTATCGAGCTGTGGAACTACGCTCTCGATATGCAGCAGAGCATGCTGGAACCGTTAAACCCCATGACGCAGAGCTCTCTATTCAGTTTCACCGAACTCTTTAGCTTCATGGTGGGCGAAGAAGGCAGACAGACAACCAGAGGTCGCAGAGTACCACCGGTGAAGAGAGAAGATCTTTTGAGAGTCTTCGAGAAAGCTGTAAGTACGAAAACGACGTTGTCGTCTGCAAATATGGCCCGATCTGCGTCGACGTTTACCGTTATTCTGTAAAAAATTATTCGCAGGTTAACGAAGTGGCGAAAGGAAAGCAAATGTTGGACAAAATGAGCGATTTGGCATGCGAACGCGATCTAACGTTCTTGAATAGGGTCCTAGTAATCACCCTGCATTTGGCGTGTCTGTTAACACGCGAGACCGGGGAGAAGGATAGTGAAGAATTCATCGCTTTACATAAGGAGCTGTATAAGTTGGTCCGAATAAATGCCAAAGGCAAGCAGGTGAGCGATTGCTAATAATGATTATCGAATAAGAATTGGGAAAATAAAACCTTTGATATCTATGCCTCCGATTTTGTGTGTTACGTTTTCTTTCAGGGTCGCGACGCACTGCAATTAAGTCACAGCGAGGACGGTGCCCTGGTTGGCAGGTATCCCACGTGTAAATTTCCGTCTCCTCATTTGACCAAAGCTCTGCTGAGAGTAGGTGCAGATGTAACTGCCAAGGACAATGACGGGAACACGGCTCTTCATCTGACTGCGCTGTTGCGTCCTTGGCGACCGGTCTTATCGATCGACCTACTCGATGCCGGCGCGCATCTTGACGCCGTGAACAACGACGGCAAAACATTTGAAATGTTATTGTGCGATAAGGAGCTTTACGACTCAATTTATCCCCTGAAATACACCAAGCTCGCTTGTCTTGCCGCGCGAGTGGTCAGAAAGACGCAAAACATTAGTAGAATACCCCAACACCTTCGCCCTTTTGTCGCAATGCACTAGCAATATCAAGAAGACACAAATATAAGCGAATACGCACATGCGCAGGACGCGACACCGTCGATATCGAGATACTACGGCGGGCATCTCATTCTAATTGACTGATTATAAGAAAATTCGATGAAAGAATTTGGTAGAGATTAGAAGTGATAATTCAGGTGTTGACGAATACGGTTGGCAATTCATTTATTCTGACATTGAGACTCGCCTTTTTATATTAGTCCATATCGGAATAAAGGTAAAAGATTGTTCTCGTAAAGCACAATTCTTTTAATCAACAGAATGGGATGTACTATGAAGCACACATGATCCCAAAAAGATCTCTTAATTATTTCCTTCGATATAAAACATGTTTCGCAATAAGATTTTCTCAAAAGAATTGGCGTGGCATTTTTGCTTATATTTTACAATTGGAATCCTTTTCTTTGCACTTGATAATTAATTTATTCAAAAAAAAAAAAAAAAAACATGAAGTACAAAAGTTTCTAAAGACAATAAAAAATTTGTGTTTATGCGTGTGCGTTTCGCTATTAAAAAGTATCGTCCAATAAAGTAAAATATTGTATACATCATTTTAATATGACTATAATATTTGATATTTTGAAATACTTTTGCAAAAAGAAAAATTAAAACACTTGATGCAAAACACAATTTAATCGTCATTTATATTTATTCTGATTCATACACAGACTTCTATATGTATAGAAATCTGTGGATTCATAACTTTCTTGATGAACTTTGAGGTTATATCAATTAAATATCTTATTGTATTCGTCATTTAAAACTGTGTTCGAGTGCGACGATATTTTCATTGAAATAGAATCGATCGTCTATATGCTTTTTTAACAATTTCTTGTTTGCCATTATTCTCGTTAGGTGGAGATTAGTGAATTAGGTGGATATGTCGAGAGATGATATATTTGGATAGATCTCTTTGGTATTGAGTGTGCAACGTTAGGAAAGACTAAATCTTTGTGAATAAGTTAAAAGTATTCATCGGCATTGAAACGCGGTGATATTGAATGTGGGGATATTGAATATTGTGATTTTATTATTATGAAGTCGGCTAATTAAAGGCCTGTCCCTTATACATAAACCCCGCGCGAGCCATATTATATATACATACCACGTTGATGATTGCTTAGCGATAATGATAAATATACGCTGAATTCAAGAGTGTGTAATCTTAGAAAAATGACTTTTTACCTTGCTGTGTATAAACAAATGAAAAGAAAAACATGGATTTGTAATAAAAGTTTTCTGATAAATGATGAATAATGCAATTCTACATTTATATATGCTACTTTATGTATATAGAAATGAATACGAGACATAAAATCGCCGTATGTTGCGTTTATATTTTCCGTTTCAGCACGCCAAGCATATCACACGAGTTGTTTGAGATTTTGTTAATCCAGTAATATCCCCAGGGCTAATGACAGCAATCGGAATTGACGATTCATTCGCATAAGCAACGAGTTTTTATTCGCTTTTATTTCAAAAATGTGATAATCCATACACATATATAGACTATATAGAGAGAGACACGTCGCTACATAATTATATATAATACATATAAACGAGCGTGTGATGTTCAAGGTGCCTTTTGCTTTCGAGGTATTAAACGATGTTACTTAAATACTCTTTTATTAAACGCGAACGCGGTTGTTTATACTATAAAGACAAATTTATACGAAATGGTTCATATATATTACGCGATTTTATATAGGTTTTACATGTTGCATTCAAATCGTTTATCTTATTACTGACACATTTACACCGCGTCCGATTTATTGACTTTACCATTGTCATGCTACATTAGGACGCCGCATTACGATTCCCTACAAAGATGGTATCTTTACACTTAACACATATATCGAAAGCTATTTTATAATGTAAAAATGGACGAAGTAAAAAAAATATAAGTGTAAAAATACGATTTCGGTGATTCGCTTTTTTTATTCTATACAACTTACCGTCCCGCAAGATTCGACGTCGCTCGCGATAGCTTTCCTGGAAGAATAACATATTTGCGTGAGGTGACTGTTTGTCGGCTGTTAAAACTTACCTGACTTGTCACGTTGGGACAGATATCTCTCGATCGTGACCTGTGGAAATAATTAATGATATCCACGTTGTATTTATATGTCCCAATGTAATAAAAGTATTCCTTATATGATAATTTGTATACATATTGTGTCACTCTATCTTATGAGAAGGAAAAATGCTTCTCTTATAATGCTCTTATAAAGATATTAAATTTATCTTACTACGATAAATATATTACACAATGGCGAGATAGCAAATACTTCCTGGCCTCTGAAATCGGCGGACCTATTATTGCGAAGGTATAGGACAACTCTTGTATCATGTATCAGAGCCTCCTAACTAACGTGTCAATGACAACAAAAAAGGGACAATACCACATCTCTCCTCGAACACATGGGAATTTAATTTAAACGCCGATGGAGAGGACGATTCGGTCATTAAAAAAATGCCAGTGGGTCTATCATCAATCGCAGCTGGAATGTCTGAGAAGTTTAGGAACACACACTTACCATAGGATTATTGTTTAAACTCTGGAAAGATACAAAGTCCCGTATGCGATACAGACCGACAGAGATTGTAACAAAAAACTATACATTGGAATAAATACAAATCATCGATACGCGTAGAAGAGATGTCGTCGTCCATAATTCTACAGTTCTACACACAGAATCACCCGCACCACGTTGGAGAAGCGATGAAAATCACACATCCCATATTAATCATCCCTTTCTCGGTCACCCTTCTATTAAAATTCATCAATCCAGCTCATTTTTATCCGCATAGTAAAAATATCATTAAAAGCTATTGGAGATGAAGAACATTATTTGTAACATCACATACGGATGGATTCCGGCGAGCTTCGCTTTTAAATTATCTAATAAACATCTTTAATGATGCAACAGATAAGCTTGTTGCTAATCAGGGGCAGATAACCGTCAATCGTCTCTCTCTCTCTCTCTTCTTATTCTCGGAATGTCTTTGGAAAATCGGGGAAGAAAATTTTCTGAAAAAGTATCTCACCTGCGATGTGTGAACGAGCATTTTTTTCCCACTGCGCAGATTATTGATGTCCCAATATGCGGAAGATAATCAGGAGAGCGATCTGTATTTAAAGACGTGTTAATAAACGAATGGACTCGTATCTGTTTAAATGCAACGCGTTTATAGAACGCTAGTTGTTTTTTTTAAATGCGTTACATTTAAACACGTACTAAACTCACTTTCACAAGATTCATCCGAACCGACACAAGAGAGTGACACCGTTTAAAAAAATTATAATAAAAATTCATACAACAGCACAGAAATAAAACACAACGACCAATGTTTTTTTTTGTAGTGAAAACGGATTTGGATTTTATTCAATCACTGAGATTGTGGTTATACAAGAGTGGTTATACAATGCACAGAATGTTCCTCGAGATCTACATGGCGAGAGAGAGGAATTATGTTTACCAAAAAATAACATCCCGCAAACGTTTAAAAATACAATTCCGTCCATTGTATTAAAAGCAATTCAAATTTCTTCCATGTACATACTGAATATTCAAAAAGCTTAAAAAGCCAACATCATTTGACATCTTTAGAAGCTCAATTTACTTTTTGGTAAACATGCTACGATGCATAAAACGCTAAACAATTTAGCCGAATTTAATTATCCAGTGTTATAAAGGCATCCAATGTTCGTTCGCCGAAGTCTCGAAGCGAATGTGAATCGAGAGGGGATCTTCCTAAAACATGGACTATAGGAAATTTCCCATATGCTGTACTTAGGTCGTTAAATCGTTTACAGCGATGCAACAGTAGCAAGAATGTGGTACAAAAAAAAACAACAAAAATCTTTGAACAGAAAAGCTATATATTTCTCCCTTTATTCATGACAAAAGTGTGATAATTTTTCGTTGTCTATAAATTAGATTCTATAATAAAATTAAGATTCACGCATGTTAATCGATTTCCTGTGATCGAAGTATACATGTATCTCCATTGATTTAGATGAAAATATAATTTAGATTAAAATATATATTTATATACACATTTAACTATATTAAAAATATATATTTATATACATATTTAGATACACATCAAACGGCATGATCCACGATACTTTACCTTACCAGATAGTTAGAGACAACCTGACCAACCGACAACACCTTTTTCCTGTTCTACTGTCTTCCGGAGGGTAGAAATATCCCCTCGAAATGTTTTCCGCAAAGATAGTACGTGCCCTGCGGTTTTACTCCACTTTCCTCACATGAATATTCACGGCTAATTTGTAAGAAGCTCTCCAAACAACGTCGCTACATACCGTCTAACCGAGCGAGTACAGGCACTCACACGCGTGCGTACCAACACGACTCAACCGCCAGAATTTACCTTTAATTATCGTAAGAGCGAATAAAAGATCGTTTTCACGTGTAAACAGAGAGAATGTTCGTCGATAAATTCAATTTTATCGGTACACGCTGTAGAACCTTCATCTCAGAATTACGTTACTGCAAAATTGGAAGCCCGTTAAGAAGAGAGCAATAAGTTACGCGAAGAGCGTGCATTTTTTATTTACGCACGATATGATAATATTTTATAATTATATTACAAAATATGAGTATATTTATATTAATTGTATCTTGTTAAAATTATGAAAAGCATGGATACAAACATTTGACAATTGATCGGAAAAATCTTGCAGCGAAAATTATTTGCAGCGATGTAGGATATATGAATCAACGATGAAATCTCTGAAATAGCGTCGATACACACATTTATGGAAACATCTCGGCGACACTTTTGTGCCCTGGCTCAACATGCTAGAATTCTCATAAAATGCAAATATTATTAGCATTCCCTGACATCCCCTTACGTTCTGCGATCTTGCCAATATACATATCTACGTATACCGTATTTGATATTCAGACGATGAGATTTACGACAGTACAAAGATATATTGTCGAATAGTTTTCTACCGTGTTTGCACAATCGTTTCGATTTAACCCAAAGAGTCTTGTCTTCGTAATTATTCTTTGTCGAGAAAGTGTGCACGAGAAAGTATGTATATATATATAAATTTTACCTAAAGAATAATTTTATCTAATTCTCTATAAAGCACTTTTCTCTATGTATGTGGGCAAGATCAGTTTAAACATATAAACCGAAATTTATCTATAGCATGTTTAAAATTAAATGTAGATCTAAATAGAATTATTGATAAAGTAGAAAAGGAATATCTCTACAACAGAGAGCTCTATATAGTTAGTTAGTGAATCCTCGAAGTTAGTGTTTGTCAAAACGAGCAGTATTCGTATTTTTGTTGTGCAACGTATAGTTATTCGCTTTTTGGTTAATGAAAACGTTCAAATAGCGGAAATTTTGCACAGACTTGGTGCTGAGTTTTCTTAAAAATGCTCTTTCGAAGGCTCGAATGCACGAAATCTTTAAAAAAAAGGAAAAAAAAAAAAAAAAAAAAAAAAAAAAAAAAAAAAAGAAACAGAATAATAATAATAATAGTATGATCTCGCAGAAATCGTGGCGACGAAGCGCTGTCCCCTGTCAAACATCACGATATGACTTTCGTTATGTATTAGAAAGTACGAACAATGCGATGAAAATCCAACACATAATCCACGATCTGCATAAAATAAGATTGTAAACGAGTGTATCTATGATATCTCGCAAGCCGAAAATCTTATCTGTTCGAGTGAATAACGATTTTATAGCGCTAAAAGTGCATTTTTATGATCGAAAGATTATCCTTTCGATTTCTATCCCCTGCTTGGTGTGAATCCAGCTGTGAAGCGAGCAAAGCGTCACTTTAGATCGGAACGATGGAGAACCGATCGATCTCTCGTCATGATAACTAAGAAGTAAAGACTTACAGACTATAGATTCGCTAATTACTGTAAATAACCTGTAAATAGTAACTGTAAATAACCTACACACTGAAAAGAAACCTACTGATTTACAGTAAGATCATCATGAAACCTAAGCCTAAGCAACTATAGTCACGATCGCTAGAAAAAACTGATTTAAGAAGTGAACAGTTAGAGTAAAGACTTCCTTTAATTAGAATAAAGAATTGTAAAAAGGAACGATAATTTGGTGATAAACAATGTAGAATCGAAAAGTTGAGACGGTAAAGAGAGGGGATGCGAAGGTGATCATCAGTAGTCGACACGACCGTTTCAACGTTGAGTAGCCATCACATAAACACAACTTGTTGATCTTCTGAAGACAGATACTTCGCATTCACTGTCCTAAGTTCTCTGCCAGATAACTAGAATGAATTTCTAGTATTGTCATCAGGAGTGGAACAATCCTGCAGACGACACACAAACACCCAGCTTCCTTACGCTGCGTCAATAAGTTATGGTTAAGCATCGAAAATTCGGCGATATGATCTTTTCTGTCAACGTTACCTTGAATCCGTCGAGACTACCTCTTGATCTTTTAGTATATACGCACATCAATCGTCCTGCCATCGATACGTGATCGATTCATCATAGCTAAATACCATTATTAAGGAAAACTCGTTCATATAACACAAACGTTATCTTTTTTTAAGTAATTATATATGATTAGCACATAGACAATCATTAGCTGACCATCTCCTCTTGTTTTCTATTTTGGATCTCATAGTTAATAATTCATATAGTTAATATAGATCTCATATAGTTAATAAAAGGTATAAAATTAAGAATACAAGAATGACCAATGCTCAATCAAATATTTTTCTTTAAGAAAATGTCCAAATATCCATATCGGTTTGAAAAAGGATACTCACAGCACGCTCAGCATCCCATTCAGATGCGAATCGTACCATGCCCATGTCAGCACCTCTCATTTCTGCAAATTTTACTTCTCCGACATCTTGAAATTTATCACGTAGCATTTGCCATGTGGTGTTTGGAGGTAACTGTGTAACAAGAAAAATTAGATATTAAATCGCAAAGAAAACTGAAAGAAAGGATACAATGATATGTAAAGTACATACATTGCCTATAAGGATGGTGTCTGACATTGGTCGTGAACCATTGGAGTTTTGTCGGTTGCCGGCACCACTTTGGCCTTGATTCCCGGAAAAACCACCGCCACCACCGCCGGAAACACGATCGCCATCTCCTCTACTAAATCCACCATCGAAATCCCTGCTACTGCCACCAAAATTGGAACCGCCGAAGGCGTTGTTACCGCCGAATCCTATGTCATTGTCCAACTTTGATAAACCACGAGGAGTAAACGAATTGTTTCCTTGTCCACCAGCCAAAGATGCCTGCAGACCGCTCAAACTACCTACGCCACCGCCGAAATTGTTTAGATTTGATGCCAATTCATTCGTCAGTGACGAATTCAACAACGAACTAGTAGTAAGATTGGCACCCAGACCGGCGCCGGCAAGACTAGCTTGAAGAGCTGCAGCATTCGTATTTGACAATGCTGATGCTGTAAACAGATGCAATCTTTACTTCACATTCAAGAGCGAAATTTTAATTCGTCTATGAAAATATGACTCACCTAATTGCGCAGGTACGACGTTGTTTAAACCAGCGCCAAAAGCTCCTGCTGCTAATACAGGAGCCGAAATCGGATTTACCACTGGTGGATTGTTTGCTTGAACATTGGGAATGTTTCTAGCTACATCCAACAATCTATTACCCCCAGCTCCAAGTCCCATGCCAATTCCCTTCAAACCTGAATTACAAAATAAATTAATTTATATATAAACACTGAGCACATATTATATATTAAAAAACTGATGAATATGCAAGTACCTTCCGGCAATTTGGGTGGCATGTCAGGTTCATTAGCTCTGTCGAGTCTAACGGTCATACGTCTGTCATACAACTGTTGATTGTGAAGCATCGAGATGGCTTGAACCGATTCCACTGGATGATCGTATTCGACAACTCCAAAACCTCTTGATTTACCGTCTTTGTCTTTCCCCAATTCAACATGCAATACTTTTCCCGCCAATTTAAAAACTTCAAGCAGCTTCTTCTCATCGACTTTATAATCCAACTGAATAAATAAATAGAACGCATATTTCCTCAATGTATTATTATTATTATGCTTCTTAAAATATATACTCATGCTATACTAACATTAGCGACAAAAACCCTCGTAACCAAAGGACCATTGATACCTAGTGACTCTAAGAATTGTGTACTAAGACCATAGGTGTTTCCGAATTTATTGTCACCGCCGCCGCCTCCGCCACCGCCGCCACCACCACCCCCGCCGCTACTACCGCCACCGCCACCGCCACTAGGTGCAGACATATTTTGCCTTCCACCTCCTTGTGGCCTAGGAGGATCTCGGAATCTGTCATCTCGATTTCTATCATTGTTACGACCAGTGGCTAAACGACCATATTTATCGCGTTCTACATCAAAATCCTGCAAAAAATAAAAAAATATACTTAGTACAATAATTACAATTAAACTAAACATTACTATAAAATCAGATAAATTAATGTGAAATTGATTTATATTATTAAAATATTAGAAAATATTTCTACTTACTTCTTTGACAACAAGCTTTCTCCCTTTAATGTCATATCGATGCATTTTATCTACTGCTATTTTCACCGAATCTGAATCTTCAAATTCTACTATCCCACACCCTCTAGGCTTATCGTTTTCATCTGTAAAAAGTTCTACATGCGCTACCTTGCCAACCTCGTTTCTAAACAAATCTTTCAGATCTTGCCAGCGAAAATCATAAGGAATGTTTGACACATAAATCCGTCTGTCAGAAGCTTTCCTGCCACTGCGATCATTTCTCTCTCTGCTGCGATCACGGCTGGCTGAGTTTATACGATTTGGTCTGTCTGACCTTCGATTACGGTCACGCTCTCTGCTTCTGTCTCTGTCATCATTATTCTGTGGTTGACTGCTACAATCACATATGACAAAGTAATTATATATGTGTATATGCGTATATGTATATGTGTGCGCGTATGTATATAAACCAATTTATCGTAATATATCAAATAAATTTTGTCACATATACATACACACACACACATACACATAAATGTAAACGACACTAAATAAATATAAGAAAACAAGACACACATATGAGAGAGACATGAGAAAGTATTAGTGAATAAAAGATGAAGGCCAAGATAGAACTTTGCGATTTATTTATGTCAATAGCAGCACAATTATAGTACTGAAAAATATTAAAGAGGAGATATACAGAAATATGTTTTCATCTTCACAACATTTGCGTCAAAATTGATGTCGCGGATACATTGCATCTTGCATTTGCACACACATACATATACACACACGATTTCTCAGATGGATTAACGAGAAATCTTACTCTACGCGATTAATCCGGATAATATTGTACTCACTCTTCCGCTTTTATCATTGTCGAAAGCCGGTTTTCGTAAATACTCTAAACACAATCTTACAAACTAGTTGTTAAAAGTATGTACATCGAGTGTACACCGAGCGTCGTATAAAATGGCCGTCGCAAGAAATTGATAGTCGCAATCACGCACCGAATATCACCACACTTTAGGGCTTTAGAGTTTAGAGGCTCAGCTCAGCTCTATTTTACACCGATTTACTTTATACTTACTAAATACTATACTGGCCAATCACACAGCCATTCCATTCTTTAGAAAAATAGCTATGATTGGCCAGTTTCAGAACTAGGGATGTTATTCGATTATCAAAGATTTCTTTATCCTAATTGGTCAATTCAATACTATTCTACCGCACGTGCAGGATTTTCGAACATATCCCGAATTGTCGTCGTCATAGCAGAAGCAGAGCAGAAGATATCGTTGCAAGTTGGACCAATCATTGTGCTCGTTCCTCTTGACGTGATCCTTGCTCCTTGCGACTGCGCGCTGCGCGACCTCCGTCCTTCGTCTCCGTGTGGATCACAGAGCGAATCGCGAGAGACGAGCGCGAGCCATAAATATTTTTTTTCGCATCTTTCACTCGCCGGCAATGGCAGCCCAGTGGATTCGTACAGCAGTAAGTAGGCGAGCCGTGAGTCACGTCGTCCGCGAAATTATTCAAGGAACTGTCGTCGTGCGTAACCATCCCGCCCGCCTCTACACGTCCTTCCAGCTCCGAGCAAGGTTAGAACTCCTCGCGGATCGTACCGTAAATCTTCCGTCTCGCTTTTGCTCTAACTCCATTTCCTCTGTCTCTCTCTCTCTCTCTCACTCTCTCTCTTCTCTACATATCTATCTTCGTCTCTATAGCTTCCACTTCGCGATATAGCTCAATGTTCTAATTCCGTAACAGCCTCCCTGTTTTCCGCCTTGACTATCCTCTCCTCTCCGCCGCGCAACCGGAGATTCTAATCGATATAATTTCGGCGAGTTTATTCATTTTAAGATCGTCTCCACGATTGTTCAGATCGACACAAGATCATTTTCCTTCGTGACGCGCGCAAAGTTGGACTCATCGAAATCCTATGTATTTCAAACATCGCTTTTAACGGTATGTCGATGCTAACAGATCTCTTCGAAGCTCACCGGTGCGCGGCTCTATAGCAGCCAGGTACATAAATGCACTCTCATCCCCGGAGACGGCATTGGACCCGAGATCTCTGCTGCGGTGCAGAAGATCTTCGATGCTGCCAAGGTGAGATATATCTGTGTTTTATCACTCTCCTTACGCTGCTATTTTATGTTTAATTATGGAATAATTGCAATTTGCACTTTATAAAGTGATCCAACTTACTGCATTGAGACATTTGTTTAAATTTTCTAAGTAAATCCAATTGTAGAATATGATTTAATATATTTGTCGCTGTAATCTTTAGTGAATCATAAATTGTCTATGAATTTTGTGCATTGTATATTTTTTATAGTTTAAAAGAATCAATTTTTGTCACTGTATTTGGAATATTTAGAATAATAATAATAATTGTTATATGTATTTATATCTTCTACTCTAAAAATCCCCAAAATTGAGAAAAACTATCTCTTGAAAGCATCTTTGCAACACTGCTCTATTTGCAGTAATAAGACAGCTTGAATTGCATAACATGATTACCCAATTTATAATGTCTTTTAATATACGTATACACACTTAATGTTTCATCTAGATCTGATATAAACTAAGTATTAATGTTTAGGCTCAACATATAGGTATTTTTATTTTTTATCTTTTATAAAAATTTGAATCTAAAACAATAGGTACCGATAGAATGGGAATCAGTTGATGTGACACCGGTAAAGGGTCCCGATGGCAAGTTTGGTATACCACAAGCAGCCATCGACTCTGTTAATAGGAATAAAATTGGTCTGAAGGGACCTTTGATGACTCCAGTCGGGAAAGGTCATAGA